GGTTTTGTTTGTTCAGGTTCTTCTTGAACGGTTTTTACTTGTGCAGCTTTTTTTTTAACAGGTTTCGCTTGTACAGGTTGTTTTTCCCCAACTATACTTTCAACATTATCACACATGTTTTGTAATTCTTGTATTGGATTGTACATTCTAAAATTACAATGACAGCATTTAGTCTGCAATCAAGTGCAGAAACAAATGCAAGTTGGTTTATATATGGACTTCGCTGAATAAGTTTTCAATAAGATAATTTATATAACTAGGTATATACACATATAAGTTAACGTGCGTCTAATCCTGGATTAACTATACAACTGATCATGTGTATATATACGTACGTGCTCGTGGTCGTGGTCGTTTCTTTCCAAGCTATACGACGAAATGATGGAAAGTAATAGTGATTTCTTTTTTCATTTCTTTCTTTTAAGTTCACTGTAATGGTGAGCATCCAGGGTATAAAACAATAGTGACATATACAGCTTTGTGATTTCAATCGATAGAATCAGACAACAATATCGAGTGTTTTTATATAACTACTTTGATTTGACTTTCAAAAAAAAAGTAATAACAAATGTATGCTTATTTAAATATTTGATAATTATTTTTCTTCCTACCAAAGCCAAATATTCAATAACGTATATACTTCTCCTTATTATATTGCTTAAAAAAAAAGGTTTTAATCTGTTTTGATAGTCGGTTGGAAGATACGAGATAGTTTTTTCGTTTATTCAGATTCAGCAACTAGTATGCCCTACACATTTCTTCGAGCATGTTGGCAGTGATCGAATAAGAGTGTAGTCATAATTGACTATTACTTTTAGAGTAGCAGTCGTCGAATTAGGTCCCGAGGGCACTGAATAGTAAGTAGCTGCATCGTTTTTCATATTCTAATGCCAGAGACATTAGGTGAACAATTTTTTTTGTATAATTTCAATAAATTTTTAGGAAACTGATACTTCAAGATTAATCACTGAAATGATTCAATGTTTGAATATTGTTTTTCTTCTTCATGATTCTTATCGTTCATTTGAAGTTCTTTTTGATAAAATAATTGAACATATTGAATCTTACTCATCCTCAATAGAAAATACTCAAATAGTTTCATTAGTTTGTCAACTTATCAATGGACTTGATATATCTCATCAAACATCAAAATCACTTCAACATTCTAAAATTTTATTAAAATGTCTTGAATATGAACCAAATAATTATCGTCTTATTTATTTTACTTCTAATTATTTATCATTAGAATATCGTATGGAATTTCTTAATCTTATTTGTCAAACATTTACGAATAATATTGATATTTTAAAAATGATTATCAATGAAATTAAAATGAATAAAGACGTAAATGATGAACAATTTTTAGATGCAATTATTGATGGTTTAAAAGAATTAAATGATAATATTGAACAAGGAATTGAATGTATTATGGAATTAATTGATAGAATGAACAAAATATCAAATAAAAATTGGAAAAATATTCTAAGATTAAAACAAAAAATTCTTTTCAAATTAATTAATAAAGATTATTCAAAATTATCAAGTCGAATTCTTGTTTCGAAATTAATTGTTCAGTAAGAGAATTTCTTTTCATTTAATAAATATGTTTATTTTGTTTTTACATAGAACAATAAATGTTCTACGATCAAATGATCGTATTAATGCTATTAATCGTTTAATAAATAAATCAGATCATTCATCTCTTCTTCTAGCTTATGTTTTTCATGATTTATTAAATCTTGACGAACCAATTGATAATGAAATATTTCTTGATTATCTTCAAAAACTTATTAATAATTATTCATCAGAATCTATTGTTTTTGATTTACTTAATATTTATTGCCAAAAAAATATCAATCAACATGAAAAGATTTTAGAATTACTTCAAAATGACGATAATCAAGAAAAATTACCCATAAAACAAACAAATCAATTATTACTTATATTAAAATTATTTCCAGATTCTATATCAATAGCAGAGACAATTTATAAGACTCTTGTTAAGAAAGCTATACTCTTTTTTCAATCATCATCCAATGAAAATAATCAGTAAGTTATTAGCACAATTTGTGAGAGATTCAAATGTGAAACATGATGTAGCTAGTGTTGCTAACCAAAAGGTTATTATCATAATCTATTTATCTTGGGGGATATTTTTTCACCATCTTTTTTACTTAATCCTCCAGAACTGAGGAATATCCAAGAACTGAGAAATAGGAAAATTCTTCTCAATTTCCTTACAGTCCTATTCTTGTCATAATAAAAAAAAATACCTATACTCAATAGTTTTTCTCGTACATTCATATTCATCCAGGAATTCGTCAACATGAATGTGTGAATATATTAACCATTACGGAAAAAACATCACCTTGGCTTTTATAAATGTTAGAACTGTGACGTTATTCACCTATTTCTCAGTTCTTTGTCATTGCTGGACAAAATTTGATCATCTTAAGTCTGCTCCATCCTTCACTGACAAAATCCTAGTAGCACTTAAGAAAGAAACAATAAACTTCTAGACATCATGAGACTTCAACATATATTAAAAATTATAGTCGAAAAACTTCTAAATCTCTGAGATCGTTGAGTTCTGATTTTCTATGGATAGTTATTGAAGTTTTTTTCTTTCTATCATAAACGAATTGTTTCATAACTTTTCTTTTTGCTCTTTAGGAA